CGCTGTGTCTCTCTCTGTCAAATAAATAAATAAAATCTTAAAAAAAAAAAAAAGAAATAAGGAATGTAACAAGGAACAAAAACAGCTAATAGAGTTCTGCATTTGTTTCTGAGGAGCGTGAACTGAGAACAGCAATTCTGGAGCAGAGGAAGCTGCTTTTAAATTTTAATTTGTTTTGTTTTATTTTAAACTTTGTAGAATTATTTGACTTTTAAAAACTATAAATATACTTTTTATTTTGAAGTAATTTCAAACTGGGAGAAAAGTTGCAAGAATACCACAAAGAACCTAGATTTCCCAATGACTGCAATTTCACAATTTTTCCTTTCTCTTTCTCTCTCTGTGTTAGCTGAGTAAATTGGAGACATGATGTTTTATTAATCCTGAATAGGTCTGCATATATTTTATGAAAACAGGGACACTCTCCTACCAAATTACAGTATACATATCCAGATCAGGAAACTAATATTGACACAATACTACATTCTAATCCACAGACCCTTTTAGATTTCTCTAGTTGTCCCAATAACATAGTTTAGAGAGAAAAAACAAAGGTTCTCCTCCTTTGGTATGGAATCCAATTCAAGATCACTTGTTGTATTTAGCTATTATGTCTCTTTGGTCTTCTTCAGTCTGAAACAGTTGCTCATCTTCCTTTTTTCCATCATAGAAATTGCATTTTTGAAGCTATTTTACAGGCAATGTCTCTTCCCCTCAAACATATACAGTACCTGTATTTTTCTTCTGATCAGTATAATTGTAACACCATTTTTAGTTAAATTCAGGATTAAGAACAATTTATTTTTATTCACAGTCAAGCCATATAGTGAATTAGGATTACATTTTCATTCTTGTACATCTTTTGCTTTCTTGAGAGTTTATCATTCATTTATTCCTTCATTCATTCTTTTCCTCTACTTCTTTATCCCTCACTCTTGCTTTCCCTGCACCCATCTCAATTCCTCTACAAAATCTAACATGGCTGCATAATATTCCATTGTATATATATATACCACATTTTCTTTATCCATTCATCTGTCGATGGACATCTTGGCTCTTTCCACAGTTTGGCTATCGTGGACATTGCAGCCATCAAAAGGAATGAAATCTTGCCATTTGCAACGACGTGGATGGACCTGGAGGGTATTATGCTGAGCGAAATAAGTCAATCAGAGAAAGACAAGTATCATATGACCTCACTGATATGAGGAATTCTTAATCTCAGGAAACAAACTGAGGGTTGTTGGAGTGGTGAGGGGTGGGAGGCATGGAGTGGCTGGGTGATAGACACTGGGGAGTGTATGTGCTATGGTGAGCGCTGTGAATTGTGCAAGACTGTTGAATCACAGATCTGTACCTCTGAAACAAATAATGCAGTATATGTTAAGAAAAAAAAAAAAAAGAAGAAGAAGAAGAAGATAGCAGGAGGGGAAGAATGAAGGGGGGGAAATCGGAGGGGGAGACGAACCATGAGAGACGATGGACTCTGAGAAGCAAACTGAGGGTTCTAGAGGGGAGGGGGGTGGGAGGATGGGTTAGCCTGGTGATGGCTATTAAAGAGGGCATGTTCTGCATGGAGCACTGGGTGTTATGCACAAACAATGAATCATGGAACACTACATCAAAAACTAATGATGTAATGTACGGTGATTAACATAACAATAAAAAAATTTTTAAAAATAAAAAAAAGAAGAAGATAGCAGGAGGGCAAGAATGAAGGGGGTAAATCAGTGGGGGAGACAAACCCACTATGGACTATGAGAGACTATGGACTCTGAGAAACAAACTGAGGGTTCTAGAGGGGTGGAGGGTGGGGGGATGGGTTAGCCTGGTGATGGGTATTAAAGAGGGCACGTTCTGCATGGTGCACTGGGTGTTATACGTGAAGAATGACTCATGGAACACTACATCAAAAACTAATGGTGTATGTATGGTGATTAACATAATATAATAAATTTTAAAAAAAGTGAAAAAAAAACTAACATGGCATGCTTCCTCTCATTATGTTTAAACATATCACATATTCTGTCACCTGCCTCTCTCCCTCTTCCTCCTTCTCTTCTCTTCTCTTTTTTCTTTCTTTCTTTCTTTCTCTCTCTTTCTCTTTCTTTCTTTCTTTCTTTCTTTCTTTCTTTCTTTCTTTCTTTCTTTCTTTCTTTCTTTCTTCTTTTCCTTCTTCCCTCCCTCCCTCCCTCTCTCTCTTCCTTCCTTCCTTTCCTCTCTTTTTTTTCTTTTCCTCCTTCCTTTGCTTACTCCCCTGTGTCTTTCCTTCTGTCCCTCCTTCCTTCTTCCCTCTCTTCCTTTATTCTTTCTCCTTCTTCATCTCCTTGCCTCCCTGGTGACTCTGTCTTCCTGACCAGGTCTATATAGGTTGTTCCCTAGTTCTGCTGCAAAGCTGTCAACCTGGAACATTCCTTCACAATCATTTGAAGAATTGCTTCTGGTTCTCTTTTCTGTTGAATCTGCTGTTTTTAGATTCTGTTACTTCTTTTTTTTTAAAGATTTATTTATTTATTTTGAAGGGCAGGGGAGGAGCAGAGGGAGAGGGAGAGAGAGAATCTCAAACACATTCCCTGCTGAGCACAGAGCCCTATGCTGGGCTTGGTCCCACAACCCTGAGATCATGACCTGAGCCAAAACCAAGAGTCGGATGCTCAACTGACTGAGCCACCCAGGTGTCCCCTAGACCCTATTTCTTCTTGCTCTATGCCCTTATTTTGGCAAGTTAAAGAAGCTTTCAAAGAATGGGTTCAAGGGAAGTCAGTTTTTGGAATCTTTTCTATCTGAAACGGCTTTAATCTATGTGTATACTTGAATGACAATTTGCCTGGCTATATAGAGTTCTAGGTAGAAGATATTCTCTCAAAATTTGGAAGATATTTTATTGTCATTTAGTTTCCTGTGTTACCATTGAGAAATATGGAGCCATTCTGATTCCTGAGATTCCTATTGTACTTTACCTGTTTATATTCTCTCTGGAAGCTAACCTCTACTATGAAATGTCATGGTAATGGATGGTTGCAGGAGCACATCCCACCCCACCACTGCCTCATTCATTTTGAGGAGATGCGAGAGGCCCTATCAACCTGGAAACCCTTCAGTTCAAAGCACATTTTCCTTCTTCATTTTATGGAGTTAGTTTTATTAAGGCACTGCCTGCCTGGATCGTTCAGTTTTTAAAAACACCTCCTTCTCGTTTTCCATCTCTTGTTCTTTTAATTCAGCTTAGTTCTTGACTTCTAGTTTTCAAACTTCCTGTTGAGTTGTTATCTTATTATCATATTTCAATTTTCATGAGCCTCCTTTTTTATTGTCTTGCTGCTGTTCTCTGAATTTTTTAAGAATATAACTCCTGTTTTTATTCATGAATTAGATATCATTCTTATCTCTGATGACTTCATCTGTTTTTTGTAAGCGTTCTGTTCTGTAACTGCTTCCTGTCTTCTGTTTGTGAGTCTTTCACATCAGAGGCTTTCTGCATATTTAGATATTTTGTAGTCGCTACATCAGGTAATAAAAAGTGGAGTAGATATTCAGCATGTATGGTAGGGGCTTCACTGCAGGGTGATTATGCAGAGACCTGGTTAATTCATCAGGGACTGCAACTGTTAGTTTTTTCTCAGAATGGCGAGGTGAGAGGAGCCCTCTGACCACTGTGTGGAATTTTGCACATTGCTGCCAGCATCCTTGTGGCCAGATGAGGAGACGGCTGGCTATCTTCCTATCTAGTCTATAGGACTTTCCCTTGCTCTTTCTTCCTCCATTCTGCCTGGCAACCTTGAGTTCAGAGACACCCCAGAAAGTAAACTTCCAGTTTTCTGCAAAACTGGGAAAGAAATGTCACCTGATGGCATGGGGTAGGTGAGGGAATCTGAGGTACTAACTCTCTCTCTCTCTCTTTTTTTTTTTTGGCTTTGTTAGCTCTTCAACCAGTCCTCTGGTTTTAGCTCTACCAGCACTCTGCGTCCACGGGTTTCTGCTGCCTGTAATTCTCAAGTCACTCTAGGATCCTGTCTTATAAACGTGCCTTCTAAGTTTACCATCATCTCCTAGGTTTATTGTTCAGCTTTCTCCGTGCTGCTATTTCACTGACCCCTCAACGATCAGATTTCCAGTTTCCAAAAAGTTGTTACTTTTGTTTGCTTAGTCTCCTTCTCTCTCTCTCTTTTATTACCTTGAGGGTTTATGCCTTTTTATGCCTTTTTGTCTTGTTTTGTTTTAATTTGTTTCTTTGCTGTCATTTTTAAAGTGGGATTTTAAGAGGAAACAGATAAAAATACATGTTCAACATACCATATTTAACCATGAGTCCAGTCATCCTTTTTGTTCTTGACATATTTCATTAGTCTTCATGGTTTCTAAGAAAAAAAGAGGATTTTAAACTATTTCTTCTATAGATGCTAATTTTTGAATGTGTTTAATTCCTTAGGATGCCTCACTGATGGACATGAATTCCTTCAGCCCTATGATGCCAACATCCCCTCTGTCAATGATAAATCAAGTCAAGTTTGAAGATGAGCCAGATTTGAAAGATCTCTTCATTACAGTTGATGAACCTGAAAGCCATGTTACTACAATTGAAACTTTCATTACTTACAGGATTATTACTAAGGTAAATTTTTAATAAATACTTTCTTGAATACAGTTGCTCTCTGAACTTTTGGAAGTGCTTTTTGTTCACTATGACTTTCAACAGTAGATAATCTTAGCTGAATTGACTTATTTTTTTTCAACCATTTTGGGTAAGACATTGCATCTGATCTATCCTTCCCTTTTTCTGTATGAAATCAGTGAAATTCAGATTACAACAGTCACTCATCTTTTAGCACTTACGCGTCTTGAAAGAGGAACATTTAGTTTCTAGTTTCAAAAGTTATGAAGAAATATCTTAGGAAAAGAAGAGCTTCAGTTTTCTAATAAAGAAAACTATTTAAAAACTTGATATAATACAAATATATACATATATGTATAATATATATAATGTTGTAGCATATCTTCTGAAGATTACAAAATATAATTTCATTTTTTTTCCAAATAAGAGCAAGTGGCTGCTTTATAAGATACTGTTAGTTCTCCAATAATTCAAAGGCAGAGTAAATCTAGAACCAAATCTTCTTAATCCTAGGAGAAGACTCTGTAAAAAAGACAGTTTACTTCTGACAGAATAAAACAACCAAATAGTATAACTGGGGTTTTTTTTTAAATCCTTATGTAATAGCAGCCTTTAAGAATTATATTCATAAGTTGTAACATTTTCTTTTCTTTCTTTTTTTTTTTTTAAGATTTTATTTGAGAGAGAGAGAGCCCAAGTGGGGAGAAGGGGCAGAGGGAGAGGGAGAAGCAGTCTCCCCACTGAGCAGGGAGCCTGCGCGGGGCTTGATCCCAGGACCCTGGGATCATGACCTGAGCCGAAAGCAGATGCTTAACCATCTGAGCCACCCCGGTGCCCCTATAATATTTTCTTTATGAAGCCCCACCCTAATCTCTTTTGTAGTACATCTCTTTTGTAGCTGAAAAGGGTTTGGACCATCTTCCTGTAATCACTTCTTCCAGTGCAAATTCCACCTTGCTGCTAGTTATATTTCATAAAAATATATTGATCTCTTCACTCAGATTCTTAAAATCCTTCCTTGGTTCCTCATTTCCTATAGAACAAAGTACAAATTCCTTTGAATGACATACAAAGAACTTCTCAGTCTGATGCCAGCTTACCATATAAGACTCATCTCCTACCTCCCCATTTTTAATACTCCTGCTCTCCACTCAACTAGAACTATTTTTGTTATCTGAATACTCTAGGATATTTCTTTTTTTTTTATAAGATTTTATTTATTTATTTGAGAGAGAGGGAGAGAGTACCAGAGAGAGAGAGAGCAGGAGTGGAGGGGAGGGGCAGAGGCAGAAGCAGGCTCTCCACTGAGCAGAGAGCCCTATGTGGGGCTCGATCCCAGGACCCTGAGACCATGACCTGAGCCAAAGGCGGACGCTTAACCGACTAAGCCACCCAGGCGCCCCTCTAGGGTATTTCTTGCTGTCATTACTTGGCATTTACTTCTCCTTGTTTGCTATGTCCTTCCTCTTCTAGAGGAAGAATAAACTACTGTTTATTTTTCAGCAACTCAAAATGATGCCTGCTCCTCCGTCTCCCCGGCACCTGCAGGCTCAAGTCCTCTTTTTTTCTTCTGTTTTCTCATGTTGTCCTAATTGGATTCTTAAAGAATGTAAAACACTGGAGTCAATATAGCAAAGAAATTAAAGGTCTATATTTAATTCTTCTAAGCCTCAGGGTTTTGTTTTTTTTTTTAAATCTATAAAACAGAAATGATAATCGTATCTGGTTCTGTAGAGTTGCTGTAAGAATTGATTTAGGATTGGTAATCAATGCAAAACACTTAGCAGAATGCCTGTCACATAATACATGTTCAGTACTCGCCTATCTGTATGTGTTTATTTGTATTTATTCCTAACAAGTCTGTGAGCTTCTTAAGGAAGGTAATTGTATCTTAAGTTATCCATATTTCCAAACACAATCCTTAGGATATAGTAAGTAAGCAATTTAACTTTTCGGTGAATGGATGAGTGAAGAAATTTATGGTATCATACTTATATCAGGATGCTGTAGAGCAAGACAGCATGGAATTGAATCTTGATGACTCCCCTTTCTTGCTATGTGTCTTGGGCAATTTAATTAACCTCTCTATGCTTAGTTTCCTCAGTTATAAATAAGGTAACAGTACTAACCTTGTAGGGTCTTTGTGAATATTTAATGTGTTTATACAGACATACTGCTAAGAATAGAACCAGATTTCTCCTGGTATTACTATTTTAATTATAAGCACCCGTTGTTATCTTCCTTCCTAGCAAAGAATTCATGTAACTGACTAATTTTCCCATCATTATTAGTTTCTCTTAGAAAGACACTTTTTTATAAGCCACCCTGTGAATTTTACTCTAATCACTGACATATAATTCTGATGAGTTATTCAAATTTACATCGTACTTTAAATGTACTCTTCTCATTGTAGTATTACTAGTGACAGTATTACAGTGTGTTTAACTAACATTTATTGTGTGATTATTTTGTGCCAGGCAATGTTCTAACCACTTTATACATATTAACTTATTTAAAGCTTAACAATGGGGGCGCCTGGGTGGCTCAGATGGTTAAGCGTCTGCCTTCGGCTCAGGTCATGATGCCAGCATCCTGGGATCGAGCCCCGCATTGGGCTCCCTGCTCAGCGGGGAGCCTGCTTCTCCCTCTCCCTCTGCCTCTCTCCCTGCTCATGCTCTCTCTCTCTCTCTCTCTCTCTCTCTGTATCCCTGTGTCTCAAATGAATAAATAAAATCTTTAAAAAAAAACAATGATCCTAGGACCTAAATGTTATGAGTTATCCCCATTTTGTGCATGAGGACCCTGAAACTCAGTTGCCAAAGGTCACACAACATAATGATTACCTGAGCTGGGATTTAAATCCAGACCATTTATGTTCACACTGTATGTGTTTTCTGTGCATCTCTACATGGTTATGGCCAACTATCTTTCATTTCATTTTTATGAAATAGACTATTATACAATAAATCCCTTTGTTCTACTTCTGATTATTTTTACTATATCCTAGTATTTAGACTAAACCTATATATGCTAAAATATGCCTTGCAGATACAAATATATAAATATTTAGTAGATGGATATTATGTTATCAAATAGTCTTTTCTTTGTTATTCACTTTTATCATTTATTCACTTTCTCATATATTCAGTGAAGTTTTGTTGAGTGACAGTTATGTCCTGGGTACTGTGCTTGTATTTTGAGACAACACCAGCAATCAAGACAGACATACCCTCTGCCTTCATGGAGCTTTCAATCTAGGGGGGTGATGGATATTAAACAATTACATGCTTAATTATTTAATTATTTAAAAATTACAGGTGCTATGATTTTATGAGTACAGGCACCCCATCTAGTTTGGAGGTTCAGAGGTGGCTTCCCTGAGAAAGTTTTAGTTTTATGAAAATTTATATTAATGACATTAAGATTATAAGGGTAAATGCACATATACATGCGCACATATGTACACTGACAATATCTACTTAGGAATACTTAAGAATGACCTGGCTGTAAATAATGATGAGTGTCAGGAAGCCCATGTTCCTGGCATCTCTTCTCCTTGTGGAAAATTACCCTTTACTTTCCAGGTTAGACTATCTGAAGTGACTGCTCTAAAGTATTTTCTCTTTTGGAGCTCAAGAGATGTGCCTTCCTTTACTACATACAGAAACAAGAGTGAGGAGGTTTAACAAGGGTCTTCTCTCTCACATCCTCATCATGAAGACAGACTCCTAAATGTCTACCAGTATGGAGTAGGTGTTAAAATATATTCCTGATTCTAAGATTCATTTTCCCTCAAAAACAGTTTTCTAAATCCTCTGAGCCTAGAGTAACTGCCCTTGACCAAAGGTCAGTGTTTGTTGAATGAGTGCATTTTGGGGTATAGATTACATGAGTCTATTCATCGTAAACTTCAAGTACCCAAGCTTTTAAAGTCAGGCGTGAGAAATTAAACACCATTTACCATATAGCTTCCATAGAAAACTGTATCCTGTATTAGAAGCATTATTTGTACGTCAAATTAACTTTTTGGAACACATGTTTTTTTCTAAGTTGGAGATCTGTCATCAAACTGTGTTATTCCTATAGTTTGGAAGTTTTTATCTATCTTCTAATGACCGAAATTGGCCACTTTAGATGAGACAACGATTCTGTCCCTGCTGTTGGGAAAGTAACCATGATCGGAGCCTGGCTGATAATACTTGTTTTCCTTGCCATATCTTAGTCTTATAACTCCTTGGGAATAGAATGAATTCTTAAAGTAGCACAAAAGAACACACTGTCTTTGAGACTTGTACTTATCTTCTGTTTTCTTCCTCTGCTATTGCAGCATGTTGGAAAACTCTTCTAAGTCAATGGCTGAGTGTGGGGACAGAATCAACCAGTTATTTGACTTGATTTTACATCTTCCTCTTGCCAGAATTTATATCAGATTGTTCTATGTTGACTCAGAGTGTTGAAAATTCTTGAGGACATATAAAGCTCTTAACTGCCCAATTTTTTAGTATTTTAGTGTTGGTTATGCCAATTTATATTTTTGGAAATTGGTAGTGAACCTATACATATATGTGCCACGTACAAGAAGGTGTTCAATAAGTATTTTTTAATGAGTGACTATAAACTATGTTTTATGTGTATGTATGTATGCATATGTGTGTATTTGCATATATATGTACATATACCAACTCGTATATATGTTGTTAAACTGTGTTTCTACTAGATTTAGTTTTCCTATTTTTACCATTTCCATAACTTGTACCCATAGTTAAGATTTCATAGTGTTTTGTGAACATTTAGTTCCTTAGACTTCTGCATCTCATTTGCCTCCACTTTCCCCACTAAAAAGGAAATGTTTTGATAAAATATATTGTGTGATATTCTAAACATTCGTTTTAAAAGAACAAACCTTGGAAAGTATAGCTTTTGTGAACCTTATTTCGTGACAATTAAGATGGCATCTATGACTTGAACCACTTAACTTTACGATTGCATTCATCTATGTGGGTGATTGATATTTCTGGTGAGTGTGAAATATGCATGCAGTGTGTTATTCCATCATTATTCCTCCAGGAAAATTTCAACTTTAATGTTAATGTGTATAATTTTTAATATGCAAAAATTTAAGTTAATGCAATATTGGTGTGAGTGTGTATTAGATAATCTTTTTTTATTTGGTTTGGGATCCATGCAGTGGAAGTGAGGTTGATATTGTACCCATGTTCTTCTTGTCATATGTGTTGGCATAGATTTTTGGTTTGTTGAGAACAGATATTTTAATTTATTTGCTTAATTTTTAGGAGTTTAGGCATATAACTCAAAATCCCTTGAGAAATGACAGGAAGATTTTCTTTTCACATCAAATCTTCATTAATAACATTTTTTAAACAGTGGTAAAATCACTCTGTAAAATGTTAGAATTTTCATATACTAAAAGCAAATTTTACCAAAGCAATTCATTTGAGCAAATTCCAGGAAAACATTTTTTTCTCAGTTATGTTCAGGTTATTTTCCAAATTACAAAAATAGAACTTTCCTCAAATTCTGAATTCTAATCATCTTGAGAAAAATATATTTGAAACCTAAATTCAGAACACACTTTCTTGTTAGCAAGAAAGTCACGCCAAATATAATCGTAGTTAAAATCTTGTGGAAGGCAGATGGCTGCTCTAAGACAGATTTTTCAGTTTGGATTTTAAATTTGAGCATGATGTTTGCTTTCTTTCTGGAAATACTGAAAAGTTTGCTTTGTTTCATCTGCTACATGAATTGATGACTGCAAAAAAAGTACAGGCTGACAAACACTGAATAATTAGAATTTGTTAATTTTTCTTGGAGACCCATTTATTTCAGAATGTCTAAAATAACATTAGGCAAATGTCTTCAGTCTCATATTGCGTGTGCTGTTATTTTCTCCTTCTTTCTTCAGACATCTCGTGGGGAATTTGACTCCAGTGAATTTGAAGTTAGGAGACGTTATCAAGATTTCCTTTGGTTGAAAGGAAAACTTGAAGAAGCACACCCCACTCTGATTATTCCAGTAAGTCTACATTTTTTTTTCCATAGGGTGGCTACCATTTTGTCTTGTGAATCATTAGAATGCTGAAAACCTAATGTCAGACCTTTAAATTTAGTGTAACTCATTGATCTTAGAAACATTTGCTCTTAAACATTCGATCTATGTACAGATTTGTTTTTCTAAACTATTCTAAATATGTTAAGATTTTGCAGGTTTTGGTTCTGGCATTGTGAATCTTGAAAAATTATTTTTATAAGAAATCATCACGTGTTTGAACAGTCTTCCAGAAAGGAAGAGTACAGAATTTCTTGTAATCCCATGCCACATAATGCTCAGATACGTTTTAAAATTTTTTTGCCTCAGCCGTTGCCTGAGAAGTTTATCGTGAAAGGAATGGTGGAACGCTTTAATGATGACTTCATCGAGACACGCAGGAAGGCACTGCAGAAATTCCTGAACCGAATTGCTGATCATCCAACTTTAACATTTAATGAAGACTTCAAAGTGTTTCTTACTGCACAAGCTTGGGTAAAGAATTTTGATTTATACTCATATAATCCTTTAGTGTCTTTATGTATAGTAGGTTGTACGCTTCCTCTTGTTTATCTTTAAATCAGGCAGCAGCGTCCTTGAATTAAGATGGATTATCAGACCTTCGAGAGATATCCTTCAGATTTAACCCTGTGTCAAATCTACATGTAAACATCACAGACATCTTTTATCTTCCTCACATACACATATTATATTTCTCTTGGTAGCTGATTTTTTTATAATGTCAGGGTATTCCTTCCATATATAGCTAATACTGAACATATACAAATACATTTCTTTTATAATGGGTTAGGACTTTTCAAGTTAGGATAAAAGTCTTTATTAAATGGATAGATGGTTGGATGGATAGCCAGATAGAGAGTACAGTTTTCTTATTTTTCTTTCAATTACCTAATGAAGGGAAGGGGGTGTATCTATTTCTAATCCAGAAACTTTATGTGTTCCTCTTCTTTTTTCTTGTCACCTATGAGAATATAACTCACCAAGAAAAAGAATGGATAGGGAAGATGGTCAATATGAAATGATTGCTGACCAATATTGAGTTTTATATCTCTCAGTTGTTGCCAAATTGACAGAGGCTTGAAAGTGTTTCGTCTCAGTCTTGACAGATAGTACTACTTTTTGGAAGCCCTTTGAGACTTCTGTGAAATGAATTTGTGGCCTGACTCCAGAGCCTTAGACGCTGCTAGAAACATTCTCTGTAGTCAACATTCACAATAATAGCTTGCCAGTTGTGACGTGCTGTCTCTGATAATGTTAACTATATCAAGAGATGCTGGAGCACTCCCGGAAAGATGTGTTACCTGGTCAGGGGGTGGCATCTGTGGTTATATGCTCATAAAATCATACTGACTTAGAAGCAAACAAGTTTACCTTCTATGTGTTCTTCTGTGTAAGACCTTCAGGAAAGAAAATCTGGAAAATGTGTTATTTAATATTTGGGTAAATAATACATAATAATATTTTTATCTGTGGACTTGGTAGTCAACAGTATTATTTATAGATTTTTTTTTTCGTGGTGGGTAACCTTTTATTTGATCAACTTTTATTTGATCCCAAACCTACGTTTACAAGTGGTATAACCATCACCAGGATCCCTTGATCTTCTTCTTGGTGTTCTTTTTCAATATGCTGTACTTCTAAAGGGTTACTTTTGTGTGGTGTATCCTTTTCTTGCATTTCTTCTTTTTGCAAGTCTGTAGCCCTCCCTCCCAGATTAACTATGAAACAGCCTGCTACATACATTCTTAAAAATCTTTCTCTACAGCCAGCCAGCAAGTAGAGGTAGTGTCACAGTTTACCCAACTTCAGTTGACTGAAGAGCTCTCTATGGTCAGGGAGTATCTATTTACAAACTACTGTAGAAACAGTACGAAGACAAAGCTAGTTAGTGCTGAGCAGTGAAGCCTCTGGAGTCAGACTGATCCTTGTTCAGCACTTAATTGCTCTTGGACTTAGAGCAAGCTCCCTAACCTTCCTGTGCTTGTATTTTCTTCTGTAAAATGAGGATAATAATAGAACCTACCTCATAGTGTTATTATGAGTTATAGATGAAAAAAATGTGAGTGTAGTGCCTGGAACATACTAAGCTCTCAATACATGTTAGCTATTGTTATAACTGAAGAATTAATGAAATTTTCCTTTTTTTTTTTTTTTCAGGGAGTAGTTTAGACCCTAAGAAATCTTCTCTCAATCATTTTCCCATTAGATTCCTGTTATAAAATATAGATTGCATTTCATATTATCCTCTTATCTTTTCCAACATCTTAAGCACGATCCCCTTTGTTAAACCTCGTTCTTTTAAAGATCCATGCTGAGAGGAAGCAGGTATACATATTTCACACGAGTACTTTGAAAAGGAATATTATCAAGAAGGCAGACTTAGAGGAAGAACTGTGCCCCATTAAAACTCAGCTGCTTCAAACTACATGAAAAAAAAAGTATATGAAACATTTTTGTTCTCTCTCCTTCCGGTCAGATTTCCTTTTGTTGGGAATATTGGAATATTTGCTTCAGCACAAATATTTCATTTGTCTGTCTGTCTGTCTGTTTCTAGGAACTGTCTTCTCACAAGAAGCAAGGGCCTGGATTGCTCAGCAGGATGGGGCAGACAGTCAGAGCTGTCGCGTTATCAATGAGAGGAGCGAAAAGCCGCCCGGAGGAGTTCATGGAAATGAATAACTTTATTGAAATATTTAGCCAGAAAATAAATTTGATAGATAAAATATCTCAGAGAATTTACAAGGAAGAAAGGGGTATGTAGAATCACTGGAATGTGATCACAAAGTTGTTCAGTTTCTGACAGATCTTCCCATTTGCTGGTGTAGTAAAGCCACGTGAAGTTAGCATTTCTTCCTGGTTCTCTCTTAAGACTTCCGTCTCTCTGCTTACAGTCCGCATCTGTTCTTGCATGCCGTTTACTTTCTCCATTAGAGCGTTGCTTTAAATTCCTGGTCTGATCTTTTCAAGGTCCCTGCCCTGTCCGATTCTGATGCTTGCTTGTCTCTTTAAATTATCTTTTTTATTTGCCTTTTATTATGCCTTGTGGTTTTTTTTTCCTTAATAGCCAGACGTGCTGCTGGGTAAAAGGAACTGCTGTAAACAGGCCTTTAGTAATGCTCTAAGTAAGGCATGGGGGAGGAGAAAGCTTCTATAGTTTTAAATATAGAAGAGTTCTATAGTTCTAAATATAGAAGAAATTGTTATACCTGACAGGTTCTATAGTTTTGCCATCAGGTCTCAGTCTTTTAGTGAGAGCCTGTGCTTCTGGACTGTGAACTTCACGAGTTTCTCAGTTTTCCCCTCCCTGCTTCGTGGGGACAGAATGGACAGAGTGGGCTGGAGTTGAGTATCTTCCTTTCTCTGGTTAACTAGTGTCCCCTGAGGGCAGGCCTTTGTTGAGAAGAACAGATGCTCTGGCTATTTCAAAATGGTTCATTTTCCCTTGCAAGAAGCAGGAGTGGTTTTTATTCAGTATTTACTGTGGGAACCTCGTTGAGCTCCTCCGGGTAAATCCCACAATATTGTGGGGGCCCCCCATGACTGGGTCCTCCTGAAGGTTTTAACTCTTAAAGTTGTCCACCCTGAGCCCCCAGCAGTCCCTCAGTCACAGTTGCAGTCTCCCCACCCCAGCAGTGGGTGGCTGGAGGTGGTTCCGCTCTTTAGTGTACGCCCAGGAACCCACAATTCCTTGTATTCACCTGTCTTTCCAACCTTGAGGGCAATGGTTTGTCCTGTGTCCTCTCCTATCTTCCAGAGTCAAGGAAAGGTGTTCATTTTTCAGTCTCTTCAGCATTTTACTTGTTAAGACTGAGGAGTGATGTCTAAGCTCCTTACATGAGGAATCACATAACATTAAGTTAGAATTTCACCTTCAAGTGTGGCTTATGCCCAGACCTACTGAGAACATCTTTGATTTCTATACGATTTTGAAGGTAGTCATGGCCAGTCCCCATTTGCGTTAATCAATCACTAGCTATTCTTGTTCCCATTTTTAAAGTAATAGTGGCAAAGTAAGCCCTGAGCTTCAGATTTTGAATGTAGTTGTATGAAGTTGGTCTCAAATGTACAACATGGATCATAGCTTAAAATCAAAAAGGTGATGTTTAAGAAAATCAGGTTTCCACATTTCCTAGTGGTATTTTTGGAACAAGTACTCTCTATTGGGCCTGTCCCAGCATGGCAGAGAAATTTATATATTGGAAATTAGGTCCCTCTTTCTATTTTCTGTCACCATTTCCTTTTTCAATTTTCTTATTTTTTTCAGTTTATAAGTTAGACTTTATTCCATGATGATTTTTTTTCCAATTCCATGATGACTTTTTGCTAATTTTCTAATTGCATTTAACTACATTAAAAATAGGTGGCTAAGTCAATTTATATTACTTCCTAATATAAATTGGTTTGAGAGTCTCTATATTGATGGCTTATTATTATTTTTTTTGTTGTTATTTTCTGGTTCCCCCATTAAACAGTAAATTCCATCAGAACCAAAAAGGGAAAAGATTTATTTTATTTCTAGTATCTAGATAGTACTTAACACATAGTAGGTGCTCAACTAAAACCTGTTCAATGATTGAAAAAATAAATGAATTAGCATATCATTTGGTGGTAGGAAAATTTGCTTTATCAAGAATCAATTGGTTATCAAAAGAAATATAGAAAAAATTGTTATAGCTGAATGTACGTTTCCCTTTATCTTTTTTTTCCAATGCACTGATACTTGATGATGTCATTGTGGTAACTGAATATAGTTTAATAATTTCTTTTAAGACTTATTGGTCTGCCCTTGTTATTTACCATTTGTCTTTTTTTTTTTTTTTAAATCTCAAGAGGCTAATTGTTTTGAGTGGGTTCTGTGATTCCAGTTCTGTTAAGTATATTCTTGATGCATAGTTAAGTGGGATAGCGATTCAGAGAAGCCGCTGGAAACTCTTGAGATGTAGGAGTTTTGTAGAATATCAATGTGATGCTTCACATTTGCTGGTGCAAGGGAATAGTTTTAAAATCTTTGGTATACTCTAAAGTTGGTGAAATGCTCAGAAGGAAAGCTGGATTTTATGGTAGATTATAAATTTGAGTTCTAATTTTCAGGGAGTGATTGCCACTGGCCCAAACTTGAGGGATTTCTTAGTCTTTCCAATGTGAAGCCCACTTGTCAGATTCTATTCAAAATGTTGGAATGTTTTCATTTGTAGCCTTGGGAGCCTAAGCTATATAGGACGTTTCATTCATATTCAAATCATGAAAATTTGGTGATCATAACTAGTGGTTTCTCTTTTTAAAAATTTCTTATTCAAGTTTTGGGGCGCGTGGGTGGCTCAGTTGGTTAAGTGTCTGCCTTTGGCTCAGGGTCCTGGGATAGAGCCTGGTCAGGCTCCCTGCTCAGCAGGGAGTCTGCTTCTCCCTCTCCCTTTGCCCCTCCTCTGCTCGTGCTCTCTCTCTCTCTCTCAAATAAATAAATAAAATCTTAAAAGTTGTTTTATTCAAGTTTTTTCTTTGATCTTGTTTTCTTTTGTGTTCCCCAGTTTATTTGCCATATTTGTACTGATCACATGCTGTGATCCTTCTCTGTACTGGAGGCTAAAGGAGGAATAAAATGGTACCTGTCCTTGAGCTCAGAGTCTAGTTGGAGAAACAGATATATTAATAGACATTACAGTGCAACTCA